GCCAAAGAAAAGAAAATCCAGATGCTCAACGAGAGTCCCTCCACCAACAGCAGCGTCTGCCAGCGGAGGATGTGACTCCGTGTGCTCCTTCCATTCAGCCCAGGGAATCACACACGGACCATCCCCTGCTCCCAAAGCCAAGCTCAGCCCCTCGCTGTGGCTTGCCTTTCCTTCCCTTACTGATGGGCTGAGCCCCCCTGCCCTCGGTCCCCACTCCGGGGTGAGTTCGGGACTGATGGGGAGGACCCAAGGGCTTCACACCCTCCCCTGTCCCAGGGATTCCCCTGCTCATCCCAGGGAAAAGCTCAAACTGGCAGCAATTTCCCTGGGGATGAGGGGGATGGAAGGAGGGCAGGGTGGGGAGGCCGAGGTGCTGTTTCACACTTTATCAATAAAGAACAGGCTGGAAGTGTCCCCTGTCCCCACAGCCTGCACAGACCCACAGTGGGAACTTAAAAGTGGATTTTAACCCTCTGGCAGCCTGGGATCCCCCTGTTCCCACATGGGAAACCTCAGAGCCTGCAGGAATGACACATCTGACCCCCACAAGGGCAATGGGGTTTTCCCCTCCATCTACTCTGGTACCCAGACCCCAAAGATCTGTGTGTATGTGTGTGTGTGTGCAGAGGGAAGCACCCAGCAGAGCAGCAGCCCCCCCTTCCAATCACACTCCCTTCTTTAATTGCCTCAAAATCAATCTTTGGAATCTCTCTCTCCTTAACCCTCCGCGATTTTTGCTGAACTGTTGTTGTGTTTCTTTTTGACTCAACATCAGGAAAATGGTTCCCTTTGTCCCTCATGTCTTTGCAATCAATTTGGTGCAACCATCTCAGTTCGTTGATTTATTTCATGAGGAAATCTTCAGGTTGTTTTTTTCTTTTTTTTTGTTTTTTTTTCTCCCCTGCTTGAATGAAAATAATTTAACAGGGGAAAAAAAACCCCAACAAACCTGGTAATTAAATAAGGGAAAATAACATCACTAGGGTGAATTGCAATGAATAAAACTAAAGAAAAGCCCCAGCAGGGTGTCTTTGTGCATAAAGCACAGGCTCGTTGTGGGTTGTGATCTGTTTGCTTGCACAGCTCCCTGAATTCACACCGGGAAGGAAACAGGGGGGATTGGCCCAAATTCACCTGAATTTTGAGTCACTGACCTCTCTCTCACTGCTTCCCCACCCACCCTGAGGTAGCACAAGCTTTGCCATCCAGGATGAGGGTCTGGGAAAGGGAAAAGCACCAGGCTGGTGTCTGTGCTCCCTGGCAGAGCCCAGCCCAGGGAGGTGATGAGGCACTGCCAGCCAGGGGGCCACACCAGTTCCGGACTGGTGTGAAATGGGACATTTCCTGGAGAGCAGCAGCAGCTCCCTAGCACCGAGCTGGAGGGGAGGAGAGGGGACAGCTTCCCTCTCCCAACTGGGAGCTGCCACTGGCTCTTTGCCGGGTCCCACGGGGGCATTTCCCACCTCCTCAGCACCTCTGATGGAAGCGGGGTGGGAGAAGCGGGGGATTTTTCACTTGAGGCAGCCGGAGGGTCCCAGCCTGTGAGCTGATGTGTGACCCAGAACCTGCCCACTGCGGGAAATTGGGGCACCAAGGGACAGGTGACACCATCAGCGGAGCCAAGAGCTGCCCTGGTAGGCCCTGCACGTGGTTCCTCCCTTTGGCCTCTCTCCTGAGCTCACCCCGGCAGGATCAGGTACCACCTTCTGCTTGATGGTGCTGGAAAAACTCATTAATTCCCTCCAAGGGTTCCCCTCAGAGCAGTTTAACCCAGAGAAGGCAGGGATGCTATTACTGGACCAAACCAGCTCTCGGATGAAGCATCAATCTGATTTTCTTCCCCCACACTTCTTTTTCCTTCCACCTTGCTATGGATTAATGGCTAATCACTTGGCTAATTACCACCCCAAGAGTCTCTTGGCCATCTAGCTGACCCTGCAAGGGACAGCAAGGAGCAAATGACAGCACAGAGGTGGCATTTCTCCGTGGCTGTGGTGATAATTGCACCAGGGGAGCAATGCTGAAGAGCTCAAGGATGAGAGAAATGCAGCACTGAACCTTGAACTCGCAGGGTGCCTCGCTACTGTGCCGGGCAATGCTGGCTAAGGATCTTCCACTCCAGGTTCTGGATGAAAAATGATCATTTGACCCCTTTTCTGAACCACTCTGAGGAGGTAAGTGGCTGAGCTAAGTCCTAAATCTGGGCTGGTGCAAAAAGGGCAGGAAAAAGTGCTGCAGCAGGAAGGGAATTGTGTACAGGCTCTAGCTTGGAAATTCCACATTGCTCCAGTCTCTCCTTTCCTTTCCCTGGGTTTTTGAGCCCTCACTCAGTGGACAGTGTGTGAATGGGCAATAAATAAGCCAAGGAGGCTGCAGCTCCAAAAATGACACCTTCAGAGGCAAACTGATAACTCCCAAAGCAGGTTTCTTGGGGTTCCTTTGGTCATCCCCAAACTTGGGAACAGCCCTGATGTCCCCCAGGCCCTTCTGCCCCACTTGCCAGGCTTTGCTCCTTTAGGACACAGAGCTGGGGGAATTTGCCAGACCTGAGCAGTGGCCTGTAGGTGACAAATCACTGCTGGACCCTGCAGATTTTATGGAAGATTGTTTTCCAAAGGCACCTCCTGACAGGGTGTACCTCTGCTGGGGGAAATCTGCAAGGCAGGGTCTGTGCCACTGATCTCACTCGGTGCCTTCTGATGCCTCCCCAGAGTTTGGTGTTGGAGGCACTGTCACCATCCTGTTCCCAGCCTGGCTGTGGCATTCAGATCAAAAGGATTATTCACTCCAGAGATGGACTTTGTTGGGAATTCTCCCTGCACCACACACTGTGCCCTGATCCAGATTACAGGCTCTCCCTGTGGGGGAATCAAAGCCCTGTGTGTGCTGCTCTCCCGAGGCACTGGAGGGAAGTCATCCCCACCCCTAATGATCCGTAATCTGAGATTTGGAGAGATGTTAAGAGGTTTCATTTCCTTTATTGGGGCTTTCTTGCTAGCAGGGTGCTCCTGGTGGCAGTGGACGGAGCTGGGATGGTTCAGCCTGAGGGATCCCGAGGGAATCTCTGCCTGCCCTGGCTCTGAGAGGACACAAAGCAGCTTTCCTGGGGCGTGTGGCTGTCGTGCCAGAAGCCAGGAAGCCTGAGGGGCTGGCAGGAACAGCAGAGAGATTACAGCCCTACAATTGGATTGTACCCCACTAATGCAATCAGAGCACACTGGGGATGGCTCAGGCTGAGCTCCCTGTGGTCTGCACCGAGCACCTCGAGGGAAAGGAAAGCTTTGGAGGCCGCCTGGATCAGAGCTGTGACCTTGACTCATCTGTGTGGCTCTGCCTCTCCACCCTCCTCCCTTTTTGCAGCAGGATAACCGCTGTGGAACAAAACCCAGCAGGTAAGGCAGGAGGAGAATTAGTCCTGCTATTTTTAGATGTGCATGATAATACAGCTCAGAAAACTGGGGATTTCTTTTCAAACAAAAGATTTATTTATACATCAAATTAAAAAAAAAAAAAAAATTATAACCCACAAGAAGAAAAATAAGCCCCAACCCAGTGAACCTAATCTGGAGATGGTCGGTGTGAGACAGAGGGCCCTGAAGTCTGGAATCCCATTTATTCACAGAGCAGACATAGCAGCAATCCAAACCTCCCCAGCACATCACCGTGGCTCAAGGCAAGGAGGGCGAGATCAATACCCCAGGCTCAATCCCTCCTACCCTGTCTGCCAAGCCTGTGCTCAGGAGAGGATGTGATATCGGAAAAGTGGCAATCAATGCCAGCTACGTGGTGCAGCCACGGGGTTGCTGCTAGGAGAGAGAGAGAGAGAGAGAGAGAGAAAAGCACCCCCCTGCTCTGACCAGAATAAAAAATAAAGTGTAAACACATGACAATTAAGTCTTAGTGGTATAATAAAATAAAACTCAGGGGCTGGTCCTGCCCTGCCTGGGTGTGCAGAGCAGAGCTGAAGGCAGTGAATGTGTGGAAGCAAAGTGTCCTCAGTTGGTCCCTTCCCCAGTGGATGTGCCCCAGTGAACTGCTCTGTGGCTGGTACCAGTGACAACAACAGCAACAAGAACAAAAAGAGCCAGCCTTTCTCTGAGCCATCACAGGGGGAAAAATGTCACCAATAAATACTCCTTTTCTTTCTTTTAAAAGAACACTCAAACAAAGACAGAAAAATGAAAAGCCAGGCAATAATAAATTGTGGGAGGAAAATGGCAGTTTTGTTTCCCTGCTCTGCTATCAGCCCCTGCACCTGGGGTTTGGTTTAGGGCTTTTTTTCCCCCCCTTTCTCCTCATTTTCCTTTTATTGAGTCATTAAAAACTGTGTGTGGTTCTCTCCAGGTGTGCAGCAGGCAATGGGAATGTCACCCAGACCCCACCAAAAAAGATTAAAAAAAAAAAAAGTTATTGGGGGAAAAAAAACCCCAAAATCCATTCACCTGATAATGGCACCTATGTTTCCATTGCCATAAAACTCTCCTGGCCTCTGTCCTACGGACAGCCCACCTGCCCCCCTCCCAGGGTTAAAAAACAAACAAAGAAGACAACATACAAACAAATTTCCAGTGTTTCAGGGGGGGTGGGAGTGGGAGGAGGAAGCCTCGGGGAGGGAAGGGCACTCTGAGACATGAAGACACAAACAGAGTGTAATATACAGGCTGGGCAACAGTCGTTAAAGCAAAGAGTAAAACACCTAAGCCACCGACCAATACGAACACCACAGAAGGGGACGAAAGTCGTCGAAGAGAGAAATTAAAAAGCCAAACCAAAAACCGAGAGAAAATAATTACCCGACCTCCCGCCCTCCCGCACGAGCCCCGCCTCCCCCCCCAGAAAAAACAAAAAACAAAGGATCCGTAAGCAAAGCCGCCCTCCCTCCCCGCCTGCCCCAGCCCCATCCTGCTGGGAGCATCCAAAAAGTCTGTGCGGGGCCGGGGCGTGCGTGGGTGTGCTCGGAGGGATGCAGGGGAGGGAGGGCATCGCTCGCCAGCGTGTTTGTGTGTGTGTGTGTGAGTGTGTGAGTGTAGCACGGGGGCGTGGAGCTACACGTACCACTCCTTTTTGGAAATAAAAGACCCGTCGTTCTGCGACACCATGTTCTCGGCCAGGTCGAGCTGCTCGGGGTCGTACTGGAAGCCGAGTGTCCTCTCGTCGTAAGGTTCGGGGTGGGCCTCGCCCTCGTCGACGGTGAAGTAAGGCCTCTTGGCATCCTCCTCGTAGGCTTTGGGGCCGCCCAGCTTGCGCTCTCCTCCTGCATCCTCATCCTCGTCCTCGTAGGTGCTGCCGCCCAAGGGGCCCGGCTTCTTCTCGTCGTCCGAGTCGTCGGGGTACTGGAGGTTCTGGGCCATGGGGGGGTGGTGCTGAGGGATGCCGGCCTTGCTGTAGCCGTTGCCGTACACGTGCTTCTTTGTGCTGTAGTCACCCTTGAAGGTGTGCCGCCGGCGCCGGAGCACCACAAAGAGCACCACGGCCACCAGCAGGACCAGCGAGACGCCTCCCACTATGCCCCCAATCACCGGTGTGGGGATGTTCGGCTGCACCATGGATTTGTGATCATCGATTGGAGACGGGGTGTAGGGAAATTCTGGGTAGGAAAAGACAGATGGAAGGGGGAACAGTGTCAAACCATGCGGAAACGCGCCCTCCCTCCATGCTCTCATTGCCAGTTTGGGGCGGGGGGTGAGGGGGTGGGAAGATGAGGGTAAGGAACAGGGAAGGGAAAAACTGGGGAAAGGGGAAGAGGGGCATCCTCACAGGGGTCAGCTCTGCCTCAGCAAGGGGAAGGTGCCGTGCCAAGCTGGCCAAGCCTCATGCAGGAGCCCAGCAGGCTGGAAGCAGTGATTTCCCCTCCCCAGCCCTCCTGGTGTCTCCAGGCGCGCTCAGATCCCACCAGCCCCGTGTCTTGAGTCCGGACGCGCTCCGTTTTACCGGCAGACAGAATTCCAGTTCCAGTTTCCCAGAGAGTGCTCCAGGCAGGGAGCGAGAGCCCAGACCCCAGCTGAGGGTGGGCACTGAGCTGCTCAGAGGTGCTACACTGCACCCATCAGCTCTGCAGCCCTGGATCAGAAGCAGCAGAGCCTTGTGATCCCCCACCCAGCCACCCAAAGCTGCCCTGTGGCTGCACAGAGATGCTCAGAGCCCTGCTGGCTCCTGACCCCTTGTGCCGACCCTGCAGCACAAGGACACAGCCCTCCCACTGCTTCTTTCCCTTCCCTGGCCAGCACAGTGCCACTCCACCTGCTAATCTCGCTCCTACGCTTACCCTGACCTATTTAAAAAAAAATAAAATAAATAACTCAAAAAGAAGCAGAGGAAAGAGATGAGAAAGCAGCTCTCTTCTCTTTCATGCAGTTCAACACCTACACTTTGGCACAGATAAAGTTTGAGCCAGGACTTCAGTCAACCTTCCAGGGCTCAGTTACAGCCCTTGGCCAAGCTCAGAGCCTGTTGAATCCCCGTGTCCAGCAGGCATTAAACACCACATGGGTGTCCCAGCCCTTCACCTGCCCCCAGTTTAGGCAGCAGGCACCTGGTCTTTGCACATGAGGCCTCTCCCAGTGTTTTTCCCACCCCCAAGGCCTGTCTGCCAACCCTGGAGCCTCCTGGCCTTTGTTTTTTTTCCCAGCAGCCAAGGAGAGGAGCAGACCCAGCAGCAAACTCAGCATCCCTGAGCACAGCCAGGGTGGGGTGGTGGGGAAAGAGGGGCTCAAGGGCAGCAGATTCCAAAGGGATGCGAGGCAGTGAGTGCTGCCTACCCCCCCTCACATCCCTGCTTAGCCCAGCCACTGAGGGAGAGGAGAGAAAAGTGAAGGCACTGCAACAGCTGCAGGTTTTGGACAAGGGCACTGAATTCGAGCAATTGCTGGCCTGAGCCATAAATGTTTTGGGTTTTTTTTTTTTTTGTGCCTGGAAGATGATTAATTCCTGCCTCTCCTGAAACATCAACCCCACAACAGTGTCTTGCTTTCTGCACTGCTGACTTGCCTGGAGCGAAGCCTCCTGGGGCTGAACCCACACAGGGAGCAGCCCACGGGGCAGAGTGGGCTGGGGGACAGATGGAGGGTCCCTGCTGCAGCCAGAATGAGGAGCAAGATGCCGTGCAGGCAGGAGGGAGGTTTTTTTTTCCCAAAAACACCCTTAGAGAAGCAGCAAGGCCATGTCTGGCAGCACGGGGAGCCGGGGTTGGGTTGCAGAAAGCCAAAGCCACATGTTGCATCAAGAGAAAGCCTGTCCCAGCCAGCTGGTTAATGCAGAGCCTCTCTGCAGGGACAGTCACGTCCATCCCCTCGTGGTGCTGCCTGCTGAGGGCTCAGCTTCAACCACACAACATCCAGACCATTCCCTCCACCCCTGCCCAAGCCACCTCCCCGGGGCTGCTCCTCGCTGTGCCAGCCTCCGTGGTGCCCAATTCCCAAAGCTGTGCACGAAGCAGGGGAGCACCTGGAGGCTGAGTGGGAGCAGGGAAAGCCCAGCAAGCTGGCTCAAGCCCCAGGAGCTTGATCCTTCATATTCTCACAGCTCTGAAACCTCCTCACACCCTGCTGTTCCCTACAGCGAGGCTGACTCTGTGCGTGGCCCCACAGTTCCCAAATGCCACCCTGAAAAGCCCCAGACGTGGTGTGCAGCTCCCTCAGACCACACTGATCCCTCTGCCCCCCAGCTCTGGAGAGCAGATCTGAGAGGGGAGGTCTGTGCCTGATTTCTAAAGGAGCTTGGCTCACTTTCCTGTTAAAAGCCTCATTAACAATCCAGGTTGGATGTGTGAAGAGAAAGGGGGGATGTTTTCCTACCTTTTTCAGGAGATGTTTATTTTTTCCCTGCCCTTTGTGCTGTCCACCCCTGATGTAGCACTCGCCACCCCTGTGCCACCCCCCCGGCACTGCCAACGCCATGGACACGAGCAGGAACACATCCATCCATCCATCCATCCATCATCCATCCATCCATCCATCCATCATCCATCCATCACTGGTGGATTTCACACCTTGCTCAGACAAGGAACTATTTTCTCCCCTCATCCCATCCCCATCCTCCTCGCCGTGGCCCTGTTCCCCTGCCAGAGAAGACAAACCCAGACTGTGGCAAGGGAGAAAGAAAGAAAGAAAGACAGGAGGGAGATCACCCACCAGCAGCCCCAAATCACCCTCAGAGCTTCCTCCCTCCTCATCCTCCCTCCGGAGCTGGACAAGGGGGGCTCTGGGGTGTGGGGGGTGACCCTGGGGTGGGTCAGTGTCTGGGGAGGAGGGGTCCAGCCACCCCAGAGCCCGGCACTGCCACTGGATGGCGGCACAGACCGGCTCTGATGGAGCAGGGTGGGCACTGCTGCGACCCTCCCAGTGAAGGGAGCGGTGCTCCGGGGCAGGGCCTGTGACAGTGCCTCGGTGTCACCTCGGTGTCACCTGGCCCCACATCCAGCTCCATTAACCACCCCTGCCAATCCCACAGACTGGGATCCAGCCCTCTGCCCAGCCCGTTCTGCATCCGGGGTGCAAGCAGAGCAGCACCAAGGAGAGAGGGGGAAGTGTGGGAAAAGGATCCCCTGTTTTTTGTGTCCAAGGGGGGCGTGAAATTTCTGGAAACCGGTGCGATGCCTGAGCGTGCTCGGGGCCCCCGTGTGAAAAATCCATTAGGAAGAGTCTGGAGAGAATTAAAGGCGCTGTGAAAAGCGGCCTGGAGAAACAGGAGACAGCGGAGCCGAGGGAGGGGGAACAAGCCAGGCTTTAATGCCAGCATGAAAAGCCTCCCCCCGCCTGCCACCCCCCAGCCCTTATAAAAAGAGGGAGTGCTGTATGAATAGGAATTAAAGCAGCAACACTATCTGCCCGTGCCCGGCTCTGCCAGCTGTTACATTCAGCCTGGCTTCCTGTCCCAGTGCCAGCAGCCAGACCTCTGGGACAGCAGCTGGGAGAGCAGGGGGACAGGAGGTCACCCCGGGCACCTGGCCCAGCCCACAGGTTCTCTTTGATCCCTTTGAGAGCCTCCAGGCATCTCCTGCCCTCTTCCTGCAGCACCCCAGAGCTCAACTGTGAGGCCACAAACTTCCCCAAACCTTCCCCATCGCAAGAGTGGCTTCAAAAGCACAGGTTTTTAAAAATTCCCATCTTAATGGCTGTTTTCCAATAAAAATGAGGCGCATGCAAATCATCTCACCTGTCCATCAATCCTTTATCTGCTGCTTTTTTGAACCTGCTGGCCAATTTTAGTGCTATGCAACAGAAAGAGCTGAAATTATCCCTATCAGAAAGCTCCTGGAGACGGCTGGAGTGGGATCCTTGGCAGAGATGGGAGCTAAACCTCATTAGACATCAGAGAGCCCAGAGGAACAGGAGGCTGCTCCCAGGGGCAGGAAGGGCCCAGATCAGAAAAAGGGTATTTTTAGATGCCCAGTAATTCTTCTGTGATATGCAGATCCACGGGAAATCAGCTTTCAAAAGCTCTTCTGCTCATCTGCTGGGATATTTTAAAAGACTACTTCCTGTGGACATGTTTTTCCTTTAAGGCCCTTTACCCTCCTTTTCCCCTCAATCCTAAGGACCAAGGGAAAAGCCAGCACCAGCCCAAATTCTCCCTGTAGCCACAGGCACTGAAGAAAATGTCAAACTCCATGAGGAATTAGCTGTTGGACATGTGTCAGCCCAAGCTCTTCCAGAGGAAGAATCTGGATTTCCTTCTACCTTGGAAAAACTAAACATCCACACAATGTGAACAGCAGCTCCGGGGAGGAACAGGAACCTGAATTCCAACGGATTCATGGGGCTTCCCAGTTTGCAGATGGCCTCAGCAAATACAGAAATGACCCTGCAGGGTTTGCTCAGGAGCCAGATTGCTGATGGCAAACTTTCCCTGCCGGAACAGCCCACGCCAAATTGTCCCAGGACTTTGCTCCCGTGTTAAGTTATGTACACGAGGGAAGATAAGGAGAAACCTCGGGACAAAGCCGCAATTTGAGAAGCCCAGAGCACTGCTGACCTTCTCCCTCCCCCCTGCACCTCTGCATGTCCATCTCCAGCTTTCCAAGGGATCCTGCTTTCCTCTCCCTCCCAGGGGTTCCTGTGGGGAGGGTGGGGGTGGAAAAACCACTGGCAACTAATCCAGCAGTTCAGCAGCTGCCACTGGCATTTCAGAGCGTGACGGCTTTCAGGCCAGATGCCAAAAGTGTCTTAGGTTTTAATCTCTCTCTCAGGTCACCTATCCCCTGTCAGTCAAGCCCTGCTCCCGCACAGATGCCACCAGACAGGACGCACAGTCACTCCGGAAGATTAGCATCAGCCAGACCCCCCCTCGGGGCTTGCTCCTCTTTGCTCCCCCCCAGCCCTGCATCCTCCCACCTAAATCTGCCTGGCTTTGGGAGCACCTGCTGCAGGGCTTGGGATTTAGGACTTCCCAGGAAGGGCTTTCCCGAGCACGGTGCTGCATGGCAGCAGCTCCAGCGAGCCCCAGGGGCTGTTTGCAGTGACCTTGCCGGGACGAGAGCGCTGCTGGTGTGTAAATAACTCCCTGCTGGAAGCCAAGCAGGGGGGTCAGCAACCCCTGCCAGCTTTTCCACCCCCCCCAGCCTGTAGCACATCCAAGGCCAGGGCTGCAAAGCTGCTGGCACAGGCTCTCCCTGCTCCCCCAGCTCTGCCAGTCCCCTTCAAAGGCCCATTTGCCATTTTTTTCCCTTTCTCCTTCTGCTTCCTCTGGCTGGAGCCAGTGCACGAGTGGGTGAATGTCTCCTGCACAGGGCATGCCCGTGCTCTGCTGCACCCAGAAAATCCTTGGGCATTCCCACATGGAAATTCCTGCCCAGTGCAGCAGGGCATTGCTGTGCACGCAGGTTTGGGAAAAACATTTCCATGGCCAGGGTGAAAACTGGGAGTCACAGGTGTGAATGTCCATGGGCAGGATACAAATGGGATCACAGAGGTGTGAATGTCCATCGGGATCACACACTTGAGTGTTCATGGCCAGCTCTCTGTGCAGGAGCACCACACACCTGCAGTCCCTAAGCACAGCTTTTCATTCTGTCACCCACCCGCCCGTAATAAATAGTTACATGTCACACTACATGGCTTGCCTGCGACTGACAAAGGTCCTGCAAGGCAGGAGAAGCTATTATGGGAACAGATTGCTGGAATAAAATATTAAATTTTCACTTATCAATCTCTATAATGCACCATAACTCTCATGGAAGCATTCAGCCTTCTCCCTCTGAACAAATTGCCCTCCCCATCAGGGGGCTGAACCAGCCCTGCACTCTTCCTCTCTGGGGCCTGGAGGGAAGATTTTGGGTGGCAAAAGGGAGGAGAACAGGGAGACAGAAGGGGAAAAAGCTGCTGCAGGGTTTTCTCTGCATCAGTGTTGTGATTTTTTTTCTCCCAAGGCTGGCTGCTCACTAGATTGAGCTCCATTTATTGCATGCAGCTCTTGAAAGAGGTTTCGTGGTCCACTGACAATCCCTAAATTGCCTGCAAGACCCAAACAAATGTACCTGTAATAGCTGAGCGAGGAGGGCTGAGCCCTCCCCAGCACCAGCCTAATCGCTCCTTAGGGAGAGCTGGATAAACATATTCAGATCCCATGAATTCTTAAAGGATTCTTATTTTTTTTTAAATGTGGTGCAGGCCTGGCCTGTGGGGTTGGCTGATAATCCCTCCTGGTGGGGCAGCTCTTCATTCCCTCTCATTTAACCTCAACCCCACAACCAGCACCTTTGGGAACCAGCTGAGATTACAGGTGGGCAGACACCAACCCTGACTCCAGAAATCCTGCCAGCCCCCACTTCCTCTGCCAGCCAGTCCTCTGAAAAAACACCAGGAAAAGAGACAATCCCAAATCCCCGAGCTGGAGCTGCCCAGAAGATCCTGTGCAGATGAGCTGGTGCAGCCACCTTCAGTGCCACTGAGGCACATCAAAAACGGGCAGGGAACATGAAGAGAGGGCTGTGCCTGGTGTCCTGACACCTCGAGTGATGTGGGGTGGTTGGACAGACAGAATGACAGCAAGAACCAGACACGGGGGCTACGGAGGGATGGAAAGTGAGAGCCTCTTACTCTTAAAGTCTTCTTCAGTCCCTATTCCACCTCATTCTCTGTATGTGAGGGCTGAGCTTGGAGGTTTTTGAACTCTGCTCACTGTTTCAGACGTTCTGGACACTGTGTGGGATGGATTTCTCTTGCCAAAGGGAGTCAGCTCCGTTTGTACCAGGCACTGCCCCGGGGACACTGAGGTGACAACTCCCCTGGAATGGCCAGCAGCTGATCCTGGCCATGACCTTGCCCTGGTTTTGGGTGGTTGGGCAGGGCTGGGAACAAAGGGCTTTGTTCTTCCAGTGCCTTTGGCTGGCAAAAGAAACAGCCCCCAGAGAAATGCCTGTACCAGGAACAACTCAGCAGGCAGGGATCCAGGACAGGAGGTGTGAATTAAAGGCCTGCTACAGTGATAATGATCATAAATAAATACCGGGTAATTAGCATCTAATTAGCACATCCCATCCATTGACCTCGAAGCACTTGGATAGGGGAAGATTAGCCTGCTTTGCCCACGTTACAGAGAGGGGAGCTGAGGTGCTGAGGGTGCCAAACACAGAGCTGTTGCTAATTTTAGGTGCCCCAGACTCGCCTCTACGCTTGCTCAGCGTTTCCCACCAGAGAAAGCTGATGGAGGGGGCTGGGGTTTCATCACTCTCAGGTCAGAAAATTCCCAAGAACTGAGGCGGCAGGAGAGGCTCTGACTGCCTTGGGCTGGACAGAAGAAGAGTTAACAGCCCTGGGAGCCTGTCCTGTGTTCCCCATGCCTTGGAAGCCCCCAGTGAACCTCATTCACCTCTCTGCCCATGCTGTCCCGGGCTGTTTGCAGCTCAGAGCTCACTGCAGTGTGGCTGTGCTCCACCTCACTGCTCCAGGAGGCACTTCCAGCCCTCCTGAGACCCACCAGTCACTGCCTGATAACCCAAATCGCTCCTTTTACCCCAAAGGAACGGGTTAAATGCTCCTTTCGTGCTCTCAAAGCACCCACAGGCACTTTTCCCCCTTGGTGATGCCTCACAATGTCGCTCTGGCTTTCAGAAATCAGGCTATTGCCATATGTTATTTCTTCTCTTGGAGCTATTTCTTGACATGACTTTCTCTCCCTGCCACTACCTAGGCTTGCCCACATGTCTTTCCCTCCCTCCTGTGGCCACACTGCTTTGCAGGCCGTCAGATTCCTTCTGTCTTCTGTGACATGACAGCACCACTTCCCACTGCCTGCATCCTGGGGTGGGATTCCTTCCTGGAGCCAACAAAGCTCCCCAAGTGCTCCCAGGAATCCGTGGCTGGCAGGTGAGCTGAGTTCACAGAGCAACACTGGAAGGAGCTCAAATGAAGAATCATGAGAGTTGCCCAACACCAGAAGCAACAAACACCATCCTGAACAAGTGACTCATCCATCTCCTGCCTTTCTGGCAGTCCACATCCTCATCCTAGCCCTTGTTCTGATCAATATCTCCCCGACGTGTCTTTGCTGTTAACACGTGCAACCATCTCTCTGAACCCAAAGCATGAGACAAGGGGGGAACAAATTGAATTGGTGCAAGAAAGGAAAAGACCACGAGAGGAAAGGAGAAAAAACAATCCAGAGCAAACCAGTACAAAGCCCAGAACTCCGCTGCCCCGTTTGCACCATGAGATTCCCACCTTTGGAAGGAGGCGCTGATGACTGAGGACATGGAAGTGGTAGATGCCAACTGCTCACACCTTTGTGTCCCTCCCCACCTCCTTTTCCACGTTCCAGAGCAGCCCAGGTGCTGTCCTACCTGTGACATTGACTTCCACCAAGCCCGAGCGTGTCCCGATGGCGTTGGTGGCCTCGCAGACGTAGGTGCCGGCCACGCTGTAGGACACGGGCCCTTTGAAGTAGATGGTGTTGTTCTGGATCTCCACGCTCCCTGGCAGGGTCCCGTTTGGCCTGGGGGGGACAGAGACCATGGTTGACCCCAGAGGTGACACCCAGCAGCGTTGCAGAGGTGACACCAACGTTCTGGGTCTTGCCCTTGGGCAGGTGCAGGAGCTGGAGGTGCTGGCTGGAAAATCCCGGTTAATACAGGCAGGAAAGGGACACAGCCTGACCCTGTTTTACCCCAATTTCCTGCCCACTGAACTCTCCTGATCAGCCAGTGTTCATTTCAACTCAAGGAGCTCAGGGACAGCAGTGTTGATTTATAGCCCTGCCCACGTCAGAACAGTCAGGTAAGTGTGAAACTGGAATAATGCAAAACTAAACTCAGAGATACAGAAAATAAATGAACAAAGGCAGATGAAAAAAAATAAAAAAAAAAAAAAAAAAGCCCCTGTGTGCTAGGAAAATACACACATGGCCTGGTTATTCTTAATTACTGAAGCAAAGTAAAGTAATTACTTCTCTTAGGCAATTAAAAATTACTCAAGTAATTCCTTCCCCTCCTCCCAACCCAAATGTGCACATATTGTCAGCAATTTATAAGAAACAAAAGGGAATAACGGGGGTATAATTAGGATTGTAAAGTGCCTAAATGCATGTATTTTGCATGTCTACATATGCACATATGTCCAGAAAACACAAGTTTTTTCCAGCTCCATCAAGGCAATGATCCCAAAGCTGATGGAAAAACACTTTAACCGTGGTCCTATAGAGCCCTGAGCCTACAAACCCAAGAGCACAGCTCCAAAGGGTGGTGTGGGATGCTCCAGGAGGCTGCTGCCTCCTCTGACAGCTCCCCTGACTGCTGCTCATTGCCACCCAAATGGGAGGAGAGGAAAAGCACTGCTGGGTTTTACATTCCAGGCAGGAGCAAAACAGCAGCAGACCCCCAGGAAGGGGAGGAGGCACAGAAACAGCCTCAAGTGGCATCTCTTCTGCCTTGGGTGCATTTTTGCCTCTGAGGTTTTCCTGGAAATGTTGTGAGGAACCCAGAGAGCCCCTCAGAGTTTAAGTCAGACTGGCAGAACCAACAGATGGAGAGAGCTGGGGATGGAGAACCAGGAAAAAAGGCAAGAAAAACAATCCTCTTCAGACTTTCACTTTGAACAGTTTGATCTAGGAAGTGGAATGAGACAGAATGTGCTCCTTGCAAAGCCATGTTGAGAGCCTCTCTCCTGATGACAAATGCCAGCTGAAAAGAAGAAAGGATCCATTTGATCTTCCTCTTTTAAAGCTACATGAGTGCTTACAGAGAAGAAAGAGCGACAGAGAGAACCACATCAGGTTGTATCAATTCCCACCTGACTGCCCAGACACCCCTCACTCACTTTTCAAGTCCCTTTAGTGTGTTCAGCCAAAAGCTGGAAACCTGAGGACAAGGAATAGCTGCTGTTTAATGTCAGTCACATGAGGGGCTCCTGGAGCTGATTCCAGGGAAAGGTTGTTCACATACAGACAAATTTTGTGTTATTTGTGCCCCTTCAAAGCAGGGAAATCCTGGGTTCTTTCCCAGCTCTGTTACTGAGGCACTTGGTGGTGCTGGGCACATTAATCACCTTGTCACATCTCAGCTGCCTCACGTCACCAGGGCAGAATATTATCCCAGTGAGGTGAGAAGGGGAAGTTTTCAAGATATTGAGGCTGCACTGTGCTGGCAGCCACCTTCACCACAGGCACAGGCTGTACCTTGGAGTGCCACCGCTGACACTAATGGCCCCGAGTGACCAGAGGGTGAGCGAGGTGTCTGCAGAGACTCCCTGTCCCTGCTGGGAGGTGACATCTGCTGATGGCAGCTGGGGACACTTACAGCTTCCACTCGTAGGTGTGAGCTGGGGGGTTGGCATCAGATTTGCAGATCAGCTTCACATCCTTGCGGTTCAGGAACCAGTTGCCATCAAAGCCCTCGATGGTGACTTCTGGCTCGTCTGCAGGGGTGGGGGGAAAGGGAGGAGAGCAGGAGGGGAAAAGGAGAGAGGAAAGGGTTGTGGGAAAGGAAAGGGGAGGAAAAGAAAAGGGAAGAGATGAGGGGGCACGGGTAGGAAAAGGAGAGAGATTAAAAGGAAAGGATTGTGGGAAAGGGGAGAAAATGAAATAGGAAGAGATGAGGGGGCAGGAGAAGGAGATATTACATGAGGAGGGAAAGATGATGGGACAAGGAACGTGAGGGAGTGCACAAGAGACCGAGTAGGGGAGCAAAAGGGACATGGCAGAGGCAGAGAAAGAAGGTAAGAAAAAGAGAAAACCCACCATTAGTCCAAAGGATCTTTTCAGTTTTCACCCTCAAAAACAAGACAGCAGCCCAGCAGCAGCTCCCCTCACAAACCCCTCTTCTCCCAGAGCGTATCCCCCAGCCAGCCCTGAGCAGGGAGCCCTCCCAGCTGTGCCCATGCCCCCTTACACTGCACGTTGAGGGTGATGCTGTCGGTGAACCTCTCCAGCTGGTAGTTGACCACGCACATGAGCTGCTGGCGGTGCGCCTCGCGGCTGGGCACCAGCCGGTACCGGCTGATCACCGTGATGGTGCCGTTGCTGTTCCGGATCTCCTGGAACTCCGCTTCCCCCTTCAGCTTCGTGTCCCAGGTGACGGTGCTGGGGGGTTTCCCGTTGGAGGAGGTGCAGGTGGCTACCAAGATCTTTTCTGTCCTGCCAGACTTGGCAATTAGCGGCCTCTTGGTGCCCTCCATCCAATTCGTGGGCTTGGCTGCAGGGGAGTGCAGGAAGGAGGAGGAGGAGAAAAGGGTGCAAAGGGATGGTTAGAAAAGCGATGCTGCTCTGTTTGCTGCATCCCAAGAGCCAGCTAACACCACTGAGGCTGAGACAGAGCTTGTGGTGATTGTGCAAATTGCCAGCAATAATTCCAATGTAATAATTGCATTATGGCAGTGCCTGTGCATCTTGCACCATCTCCCTGCATCATTTCTGGGGAAACAACAGTGGAGGTGCCCTAAATGCACAGATATATGAAAAGTCAATACTTTCCTCCCTGTTTCCATCATTGTGTTAGAAAGGAACTGATATTGGAGAGAAAATTAATCATAAAGACCTTGGGTGGGGTCTGTTCACTCACAGCCCTGAGCTCCAGGGACAAGCTCTGGTTGAGTTTAGGATCAATCTGTTGTTTCTTCTCTCCTGACAACCCCCAGCTCATTAAAACTCACCATTCCCACAGGGGTCTGGCCACTGTTACTGCACCTGCATTAGGAGGGTAGGTGGAGGGAAAAGGGGAACTGAGACCTGGGAAGAAGAGGTGTGACAGCTCAGCTGTCTCAGAACCACCTGCTCTGTGCTCCCTGCTCTTCACTTCTTCCCAGTCAGCTTAAAAATCCACCACAGGTACAACTTTCACCCCGAATTCACCTTTGCCCTGAGCTCCCAGGACATGAATCTCAGGTTCCTCCAGCTCTGTTGGACTGGAGGTTCACCCTACAGAGCCTGCCCAGAGCCTTACCCAGCACGGTGAGGTTCAGCTGCCCTTCCCGGTTGCCGGTTGGGAAAGTGGCAAACTCACAGATGTAAACCCCCTCATCCTCCAGCTCCAGCCGGGACAGCTGGATGGTGCCATCCTTGAAGGAAGGGTTCCGGAAAGTCACCCTCTCCTTGTAGGGGGACAGGATGGACACGCCCATGGCGGGGTTGTAGATGGCCACATTCTGCTTGGTGCCGTTGGTGGCCTTCTGCCACGTCACCTGCGTGATCTTCACATTGGGCAGCGGGTTGGTGAAGCTGCAGTGCAGCACCACGTCGGTGCCGATGAACCCCGAGACGCTGTCATTGACCAAGACAGTCTGAGCTTGCAGCCCTGCAACAAAACAGCAGCACGTGAGCGTTTGGGTACTGCCCAGGAGCTCCTCTATTTATTGCACTTGTTTCTTATCGGCATGGCTGATACAAGAGCAATTTGTGGCTACAGGCACCTTCTGCATCCACCTGCAGCTTCATTCTTAGTCATAAACACCTTCTTCCCGCTATGACCAGCCCAGCCTAGGGCTCATCATCATCATCATCATCACCCAAAGCCACAGGGCTGGATCAATAACACCTTCCTCCCTTTTGTCTTCAGCTCTGGGTGACACTGAATCAGTTCTGGTAAATATGCAGGGGGTGTGTGTGTCTGCAGGCATGTGAAAGCCCTGATGTTTATCAGCACAGCACATCCCAACATATGCTAACACACACTCAGACATCCATTTAATCCCATTGGAGCTGCAGCAGTAATTAAAGGAGCTGCAAAGACTCAGCCCTCATTTCAGGGCAGAAATAATTCCCGTATGAGAACGGCTTTAAGGCACTGCCTCTACACCTTGCACGATCTTCCTGTATCATCCAGATCGTTTCTGTGGCCTTTTTATAACCCCAGAAGTAGCTGAATTTAGGAACGTTCCACCTTGATTCTGTGGAAGGTGCTCCTGAGAAGTGGGAGCTGCAGTTCATGACAGCTCTTCTGTCTCAGTTGATTCCTCCCCTGACAGATGGAGAAAAATATCTCCCACCAGACTGACCCTGAAATTCATCTTTTCTGCCACTGTGTCTTTTCCTAATCTGTGTGTTTAGAGATAATGCTCTGGTAATTATACAGCCGGTATTTGTATGATAAATACAATAGAGGCAAGGTGGTAAGAACGAGAAAAGCGGGTTTTGCTCTCTGCTTCTGGGAGAATCTGCAATTGGATGGATTCTGGGAGCTGGGGAGGAAAGAAAGGGATAATAAAAAAAAAAGGAAGATGCACAGAGAGTGAAGAACATGAAAGAGTAATGGAACAGAGAGAGGGGCTGGGGAAAGAAAAATGCAGAGCAAGAGAAACAAGACAGCACCTCCTAACAGAAATGTCACCCTACTCTGTTCTTCCAGGGATGAATGGCTCCCTGTCCAAGGCTAAAATAAACTCCTGTGTTGGTCCCTGTGGCGGATGTGCCCTGGGACTTCTCCAAGAGTCTCTTTCCTGCAGTTTCACACACACACAAGTGCAGGCAGACAAAACTCTCCTCCATCCACCCACACTCCACACTGCCCCCTCACTCCCTGCCTGTTGTTCCCAGCCTTGTCTAACCCCCACATCTCGTCCACGCCTCTTCTTGCTCCCTTCTCCTTCCTGTGACCCCGAGGACGAGCCCCAACAACCCAGCCTAGCCACGAGACGCCACCAGCTGACCACAGCCATCAGCAGTTCTGACCGAAACTTGGGCTCCAGAGCTTTGTGTGAACTTGCCCCCTGTTCCCCGAGCCAAGCCCCACACCCCAGCACTGCAGCTGGGTGCTCAGGAATGTTTTCCAGAGCTTCTTACAGCCACAGCAAAGCGCTGGTGCCCTCATGTGCCTGCACTCACCGAGCCACCGTGTCCTCTGGGGTGGCAGGGTGCACCCTTCCCCTCCCAGCACAGCCAGAACCATTTTCCCCACGGTTTTCCCTCCCCAAAGCAGAGGGTAGGCATGTGGAAAGGCATGAGGCTCGGAGAGAGCCACATGTGGACCATGTTTGCCCTCTGGAGAAGGATGTCCCAGCAGCAGGACACAGCAAAGGACTTTTCTGCGGCCTGTGCCCACAACACCCTCCCTGATGAAACGAGGGCATGGGCCGGGTTTAGATGAGGCCACACTGGATCTGAGGGAAGAATGGGTGGACAGGGGAGGGGGGAGATGTCTCCACCACGCTGTGCAGCATATGCTGCTCCTTCCACCCCGGAGGTGAGCGAGCCTCTCGCAGCATTGCCCACACCCGCCGAGGTGAGGAACAGCTTTGCCAAGCAGTCTGGCTCAGAAGGCTCCAGAGCCTCCCAGAGCGTGTGGGAGCTTGCTGGGGAGACTTCAATCACGTAGCCAGGGCCTTGGGAACGGCCCAGCTGGGTGGGTGTGCTCAGCGCTCCCTCCTTCTCCCAGGGCCGGGGAAGCGCGGAGTCATCAGCGCCTCTTCCACCAAGGGCTCGTGTCCCCAGCGGGGCCTGCCCGGGGCTGGGGCGCTGGCACAGCTGGCTCTGCTCCCCACAACAGCTGGCTCTGCTCCCCACAACAGCTGGCTCTGCTCCCCACAAGCTCCCTGACCCCCCGTGGGGCCCAGCGGGGCCCTTTGAAGCAGGATTTCCACACCCCAACAAAGCGGCCCCATCTGCCACCGCAGGAAGTCACGGCTCAGCGGTGCCAGGGCAGCAGCAGAGGAGCCCAGCTGCAGGGACGAGAGGGTGCAAGGCCACCAGAGTCACCCCTGCAGGGCTGGCAGTCCCTCGTGGCACGTCTGGATGAGCGCTGCCAGCCTGAAGGCCGCCACTGATGGGCGACCAAGATGTGCCCCTTCAATGAAGATAAAGTCAATCAAGCTAGAGCCATTCCAGCAGGGAATGTGATGGATAGCACAGGGGAGGTCAGTCCAGTCCCTCACTCCATCCATCATTACTGTGCCCTTGCTTTATGCTGTGATTTCCCTGCAAATTAATGAACTGACTCTTTTAAAAATCAAGTTATTTATCTTGACCTTGAGCAGCAGCAACAACTCCCAGTTCTACCCTCCCCCTGCCATGGGATCCATGTATCAATACAGGCTGGGTGTGGACATAAACTGGATAAAAAGTGGATTTTGGAACTGATAAACCTGATCCTGAACCTGGAATGGTCCTGCAGAACCTTCCTGTGCCCAGGCATAAAGAGCCAGATTTTTTTGGCCAGGGAAAAAGCCGGTGCCAGTTGAGTGAGGACAACTTGCCAAAAGCCAAATGCTGCCAAAGCTGGGATTCAGGCCCTTACACGCAGCAGCTTTGACAAAAACACATTCCAAACTTTCTCGAGGCTCCAGGTGAAAAGAGAAAACAAAAAAGTAACACCCAGCAGAAGAAATAACAAAACAAAAAAAACCAAAAAAATACCCTGAAAAACCCCAAACACAGCGCGGAAATCGTGTTTCCTTTCCAGGTGACTGAACAACTCTTTTGCAAGACAGGAAAAACTCTTCCTGTTCCACTCACCCAAGACTTAAATCAGGAAAATAACGCACCTGTTCTGCTCCAGGAGCATCCACACCTCAATGCAGTGATGAGGAAAGGGGACAGATGGAAGAAAGGGATTTGGGAAGTTGCTGGATCAGGTTCCCATCCTAAATCAGAAGCCAGAGGGCAAATTTGGCTGCTGCCATGCTCTGGGGAGTGCTTGTTTGCAAGGTGACTGAGCTGGGCTGGCGGGCCTTCCCTCACCCCGTTACACACTCAATAATTCATCAGGGCAAATGCATAGATAATTGATGGCAATGAGCACGCACGGCCGGCAGAGGAGGAGAAAATAAAATCACTAATCAGCCTCTGGAGGGGTTTGAACATATTCAACTGGATGTGTGTGTGTGTGAAGTGCTGGGATTCGCCGCGTTTCTCCTTTGCTGAACCATCCGTGCGGTTGGTAGGGCAGGGAAAAAGCTTGGGATGGATCCTGCCGTTTTCACACCCCGTGCCAGATCTCCCAGTGCCCACCAATCCATGCTGACACCTCCCAGGGGCAGCCAGCACCCGGGCAAAGATTAGCTGGATAGGTTGCAGCTTGCCCACTTGCGTTTTATTCATTAGTTTTGTGGTGTTATTTTTTGTCAGGGACCAAAAAAGGGCCCAGCTGTGCGCCAAAGACATGTTGGTGCCAGGACCTCATTAGTGCAGACCTTGAAGGTCCTACTCCTCCACCTGGGCCTCTGAAGTGGTTTGTGTTGATGCCTTTCCCCACGATCCCAAGCCCAGATATTCACCGAGGCCTCGGGGGCACAGCTCGGGGTGCCCTGAGGCACACGGGCTGGGAAGGAAGGCCTGCCCTCCCTGGGTGTCAGGGGCATCCAGGACGGAGCACAAGTGCCAGGTGGTGGCTCTTGGGCCAGAAAATCCTTTCTCCTAAAAGCCCAGGAGGTGCTGTTCCAGCGAGGCTCCCACAGTCACAAATCAGGTTCTTGCTCCCCCCCACAGAAAGCTCTGGAAATGATCTCCGGGCTCTGGGTGAGCTCTGTCACAACCTCACTCAATGCCTCTTTGTTAAGAGCCATGTGAACTCTACTCTGCTTTGCACAACTTTGCTTCTGCTGAGCCTCTCACCAATTTCTCTCCCTCCTGTTCCCTGATACTCATCTCCCCCCAAGGGCACTGAAACAGCCCTTGGCAGGAGTGTGATGAGCCACCCTTCGGTGTGGCAATATCATGACTAATGTAGATGTCACAGGGATTGCTCCCGATAGTCTCAGTCCCAGCAGCTTAGTCCCAGAAGGACATCAATGCATCACACTTCAACCTGCACAAACTGCCACAAAAAGCTCCTGGTTTTGTGACAGCACCGTGGCCATGGGCAGTGATGTCCCATCCGTGGTCCCGTGTCTCTCACAGACACTGCAGATTTTCCATGAGGGAAAAGTGGGATTGAACAGGAACCCAAAACCTTCCACTTGGTGGCACTTAAAAATTTCTCTCCTGGTGTTTCTGAACTCACTTTTCCAAAGGAAAACAAGAAACACAACTCTTGTGGGGCAGAGCCTCCAACAGCCCAAAGAAACATCCCAGGTGTGTCAGGCAGGGTGGGAAACACGGGAAAGAGGATCTGAAATCCCAGCAGGGGAATTTCAGGTGGCAAGAAGCAAAGGTGTGAGGTGGCGCTTGGCCAGGAGGTTGGGGTTAGTACCTCTGCTCTTGCCAGGGAGGCTTTGCATTGATTGCCAGGCATTTAAATCAGGATTCTGCTGCTCTTCCGAGAGCACAGGGCCTGCCTCGCCCTGCTGGGAGCCCACTGCAATGAAGGAATGGGCTCCAGTGAGTCAGTGGGCTCCACTGAGTCACCCCCAGGCCCTTCCTGTG